CTCGCTGCCTCGGTAACATCAGACACAGACGATGGTTTAGCCGTCTGGGAGAATAGTCGGCACGCCATCGTCAATACCTACGAGCGTCGATCTGCCATAGTCGATAGGTATATGAATCCTTCTTTTGAGATTTGCCTCTTTTCTAGGGTTTTTCGTATTTTCGTTATGAAGAGCGATGCGGGGAAAAAAAAAATCTCATTTATGATCAAATGGGCAAAACCCCAAATTTTGTGGGTTTTCTTAAGGGAAGCTCCTATGAGATTCTGGGTGGAGATTGGAATTTATCTTGTAGCAATTTGCCATTGGGTTTCTAATTAAGTGTTTCTCTTAATTTTTTTTTTGGGTATTTCAGAAGTGAAGTGCTTAAGGAATGCATCGAGAAGCCGCTAAAGAAAGGATCTTGTCCTGGAGCTAAAAATCTCAACAGGAAGCGTAATTATACTCAATTCCACTTAGAGTTGGGTCAATCTGATTTTCTTCTTAGACACTGCGGTGAATGTGGAGCTAAGTATGCTCCTGGAGATGAATTAGATGAGAAGAACCATCAAAGTTTTCACAAGAACTATATGAATGGAATCCCTTTTAAGGTTAGGATGCCCTGTGACCTTATTGCTGTAGATATATTGTTTGTTTGACTGATTGTTGTGTAGAGGTTATTTGATAAAGTGTCGGTTTTTGAATTGGTTTCAGGGTTGGCAGAACGAAAGAGCGTTCACATCGCCTTCGTTGAACAAGAACCGCATTGTTATGGTATCGGAAAATGACCCTCCTGCACACAGAAACAAGGTTCATCTTTTTTTCTTTCTTCACAATTCAAGTTGTGCTGTTTCTTGTACTGGTTCTTCATAAGAGGGTCTAACGGGGTATCTTTTTGTAAATTTCAGGTGCAAGAGGTTGCGAAAATGATGGAGGTAGAGCTAGGAGAGGATTGGATTCTCCACAAACATTGCAAGGTATGAGCCTGTATCCAGTTCTTAACAGACACTTTCGGATATGTTCCATTGCTCATACATGATATCTAATACTTGATGATGTCTACTAAATTTTGGATCTGATACAAAACTTGTTGAGGAATACTTGTTTTACATTTTAGCCAAAGGAGGAAGACATTGATCTATTTTGATTCCATGTCTATGAGTAGGATTGAAATCAAACAAGAAAATTGATTGTGCGGAAAGAAAGTTTTCTTTGATATCTTTTGATGATAGCTGTAAGTCAAAATTGTTTTGGATAGTTATTTAAGCCTCTTTACTTTCACAGCATCTTCAAGAGCTACCTTGTTATGTGTGTAGGTTTATCTATTCATTTCCTCTCAACGGATCAGCGGATGTTTAGTTGCAGAACCAATCAAGGAAGCATTTAAGCTCGTAGCCCTTCCTGATAAGGAAATAAATTTAAAGAAAGAGAGCTCCTCTTCGCATTCCAACTCCATTCAGTTTGGAAACATTGTGTTGCAAAGAGAAGTATCGAAAAGATGTCGAGCATCAGAAGATAGATTAGATAATGGAGCAATTGTATGTGAAGAAGAAGCTAAACCAGCTGTTTGTGGAATCAGAGCGATTTGGGTCTCACCTTCTAACAGAAGAAAAGGCTTAGCTACACGGTTACTCGATACCGCGAGGTAAAACAACTCTTAGCAACGACATGAAAATACCATTCTCATTGTAAAGATTCATCCATCAATGGTAACATTTTTTATCGTTTGTATAAAACTGCAGGGAAAGCTTCTTCAGCAACAATGGATGCGTTTTGGAGAAATCTCAGGTTGCATTTTCACATCCAAGCTCCATGGGAAGAGCTTTTGGTTCCAATTATTTTGGAACTTGTTCATTCTTAGTTTACAAAGCTGATACAAATTTCCCTCAAACAAAATAGATTTCACATCATTCTTTATTATATAAGACTTTGTTGATTTATGAATTGCTTTTTAAAATTTAATCCTAATTTTGGTTTTAAATTGAGTGTGATTTTAAATTGTTCTAGTTAAAAATGTGTTAAATCAGATGATAATAAACAAATATAAAGTAAAATGATGTTTTAGCAAAAAGACAAAAAAACATCATTATGGTCTAAATGATAACACAATTCCGCAGATTTAGCAAATTCCGCAGTTACCATTTAAGTTTGACATATT